CTTATTTATTTCGTTATCGGCAGTATTGTTTTGATCAGCTTTAAAAACATTATTTTGTAATGCATTATTAGTTAATAATAATATTGTATTTTGATTTCCATTTTGCTTTATATTAATAGCTTGCATGTGTTTATTCAAGAACGTAAATTTTTGACCTTTATTTAATTGTATTTTTGATTTATTGGGTTGATCACTAAAATGCTGTGGGAGTATATTGATGTATTTATTTTGTACTATTATGTTAGACAAAGGTTCATTACGAATATACAAACGTTGTTCAGTTTGATTTAGTGGTTTTTTATCTTTTTGAAAAATATAATTTGAAGATGAAATGACTTGATTCTTTATTAAATTTGTTATAATTGTTTGATAATTACCTAATTTTTTATCTTCTTGCAATGTACAATTTTCATTTTGATTCAATAAGGTATCTGTAATAGTTGACAATGTTTTATTAGTAGCTTGATTAACTTCTGAAGTATTTGAATCTATTAAGTCTTCTGATACAGCAATCTCATGAGTTTCCATTTCTTCATAAGAATTGCAATCTAGAATAGTAATATCATTGTTTTGTTTTTCATATTTTGTTTCCTCTTGGGTAAAAATTATATGTTTATTATTATTTTCATTCTCTATTTTAATATGGGTATTTACTTGCATTAACTTTGTTTGTGATTCTTTTGCATTGTGTACATACTTAATTTGTTGTTTATTCATAGAATTATTTGACGCATCATTAAAATAATCTTCAGTATTGTTAATTATTTGTATGTGATTTTTAATTTGATGTTCCAAAAGTTTAAAATTTTCTTGAAATTCTAAATTATTCCCATTTTCTATGTCATTAACTAGATTACTATATTCTACTTTAATATATGATGGTGTTTCATTTATATTGTGATAAATTATTTCAGATTGACCAGCATTATCGTGACATATGATTCGATTATTTTCATCGTGAACTACTTCTAACTTATTATAAGAAGTATTTTGCAATTGGGGTGATTTGTCTTGTACTTTGTCTGCATATTCATCTGGCAAACTGTTTTTGTCTTGATTACAAACGTTATTAACTATAGGTATTTCAGTCTCTACAGGATCAGTCTTATTTAAATGAGATTCTGAACAAACCTCATAAGTTTCAAAACAATTCTTAATAATTTGTATTGTATCATTTGATTCCCAATGTTTATCACTATCAGTAGTATCATTGTTTATAATATATTCCCCAGTTGCAGTATTCTGCATTTCGTCATTGTCATTTTGATAATGCATAATCGTTTTTGCTGCAATTACATTCTCATCTATCATATGATCTTTATTTACATCATTTTTTTTTTTTCTATTAGTTCGAACTTTCTGAAAATCTTCTTCAGAAAGATATAACAATTCTCCAGTAGTTGTTAAAACCTTTCCATGTCTTGTTTTTAAATGACGTTTATATGTATTCCTTGTTTTAAACCTGATTAATACGAAAAAAATTTATAAGAAAGAAATGTACATATTATATATTAAATATTTGTAATATAATATTGTTGGTATCTTGTTCACCTTTGTCCACAATCATCACATCCAAATGGTGCTTCTCCAGTATGCCTACGTCGATGTTCTCTAAAATGTGATGGATGTCTAAATTTTTTCCCACAATCAGCACATGTAAATCGCGTTTGATTTTGATGGATTAACATATGGTATTTTAAACTGTGTCTTCTTGTAAAAACTGCTCTGCATATACGACATTCGTATGGTTTTATTCCGGCATGACTCCTATAGTGAGACACCAACGTTGTAGGTGCTGTAAAACTTCGTGGTGGATTACAAATTCGACATTCAAGGTTGTTTCCTGTCGGATTTCCTTTTTTTTTTATACGATCCATAAAAGCTAATGCCATTTCTCTTTCTTCTTTACTAGTGCCTATAAATTTTGCTTTTCCTTTTGGTTTAGTTGTTGCAATTTCTATATTTTTATCTCCACTTTCAGTTGACCATGATATTTCTAAAAAATAAACTAAAATATAATAAATATATACAAAAAAGTACTGAAATACATGAAAGTATCACAAATATTTTGTACATTTACCTGGAAAATAAATGGCTTCAGATTTTTTATTGACTTTTTCTGACAATTCTTTATTTATGTGAGGATACTCTTTCATATGAACACTGTCAGTGCCAACAACCATAAGTACAATCTACACAACAAAAATTATATTTAAAAGATACAAATTTTACATTTATATTTTACATTTCTACTTACATTTTCATCTGTTGCATTTTCAAGAATATTGTTAACAGATGATGTATCTTTTTTATTTGGAATTTCATCTTTCAACCGTTCAAAATAACTATGATCACCAAGAACTTTGAAATCTATTCTGTCTGTATCTTTTTGTTCTGAATTATGTAATTTTTTAGGATTTTCCACTTTTTCCACATTTTTGTTTTTATCTAATTCTTTAAATGTTGAATCACTTAACAGTATATTTCTTAAATAATTTGTTGATTTCTCTGTAATAACATTCTTATTTTCTTTATTTAATGTTTCTTGTGGTTTTCTTAATTGTTGTAATCTATTTTTTTTATTTTGAGGACTTGTTTTGTAATTTTTGTAGCTTACTGATTTTGCAGTAAAAGTTTTATCTACAAAGTAATATTGTAAATGTAATTTTTAAATTATGGTTAACACAGAATTGTATACTTACAGGCATCTTTATTAGTTTTTAAATATTCTAAATGTTCTGCTAAATGTGCTTTAATAGACATTCTTGCCCTCCCTTCACTTGCAAAACTAGTATATTTTTGTCCACAGCCAACAACAAGAGCACATGTATAAGAGTATTGCCTTTTCAATTCATCACTTGTAAAAATAGAAAATTGTTTAACTAATTGTGATGCAGGCATAGATAAAAGCTGTGGCACATTAAAAGATGATTCATGAGTCTTTCTTTTTACATAATCTGTTTTTGACTTGCATTGTGAAGCTAATAATGATTTACTACGCTTTTTTTCTGAATGTAATGTTTGAGATGCAACTTCTGCAAGCATATCTAATAAAGCAGCTGGGCTATCACTTCCCACAATACCTGAAATTAACATTATTGCAAAATGAAAAGGTTCAACAATTCAAAACTAAATATAATAAATATAATTATCATGCAAAAAAAAAGAGAAATTTATTGCTTTTATAGCTTGTAAAAGA